GGCATCTTCTTGCATCCTCTTTCCTGTGACACTGATCACACTCACTTGTAAATGACACACACAGTAAAGTCAATACTGGGCTCTCCCTACCCTTCCACCTACTTGTGCAGAACGACCTGCTTGGTCTTTCCCAAACCCAAGCCAGATTCCTTCAGCTAGACTGCCAGGGTACCACCTCATGTCAACTGGCACCAAGCTGACCATATAAAGAAAACGGGGGAAAAAACAACAACAAAAACAGTGGGTCATAGCCAATACTGTGGGACACTCCTCATCCTACTTTGCAACAAGCCATCAAAACACCTTCCATTTGGCTGTGGGAGGGCTGGCTATAGGTTTCAGGGCTGAGCCAATGGAGTATCAGCCAAATCCGGAGGATATTGCGCCAGAGCCATGTGTGGGAGAAACCCCAGGCAGCCACAGGTGTGGGATCGGGTTATGAGACATGGGTGTGGGCTAGGTGGTGAAGGATGAGAGGCAAGAACAGGGAGTATGGGTGTGGCCAGAGGTGGGCCAGGGTGGAGGAGGCAAAGAATGGGGCTCTGCCAGGGCTTGGACATAGTCCTCAGATCAATGGCAGTGGCTTAGAATCCTCTAGAGGCAGTAGTCTCCTTTGAGAATCTGACACATTGAGAGGAAAAAGAGTGCACATGCTCAAACTAGTTACAATTCCTGCACAGCGTCAGGAGCTTTCTAGAACTAAGAAAACCTATCCAAGGGTTGAGATTATGACTTGCTGGTCTAGACAAGTTAACAGAACATTTTCGGGGGGGGAAGAAATAAAACTTAGAGCGGCATTAAGATCTTAAGAATGAGTTAAAAAGGATTCTGAGTGGGGCTGGGGTGTTTGAAGTCAAGGTCAAGGGCCATATGTTCTCAAATGCTTTATTTTCTGTTTTTGTTTCTGTTTCTGTTTTTTGTTTGTTTGTTTTGTTTTGTTTTGTTTTTTGGTTTTCTGAGACAGAGTTTCTCTGTGTAGCCCTGGCTGTCCTGGAACTCACTCTGTAGACTAGGCTGGCCTCAAACTCAGAAATCTGCCTGTCTCTGCCTCCCAAGTGCTGGGATTAAAAGTGTGTGCCACCACTGCTCGGCTTATTTTCAATTTTTAAATTTTTTATTTTATGTGTTTTGGCATTTTTACTGCATGTATGTCCCTGGAACTGGCATTAACAGACAGTTGTGAGCTGGCATTTGGGTGTGGGAATTGAATCTGGGTCCTCTGGAAGAGCAGCCAGTGATCTTAACCCCTGAGCTATCTTTCTTTCCAGCCCACAGTTCTTGTTTTTGAAGGTGTTTGAGTTTGCACAAAGTTGCAAGCTTGTGGGCTTTTGCTTTTATGACAAAGGTCTTGCTATGAAACCCAAGTGGGCTTCAAACTCTTGATTCTCCTACCTTTGCGCCTCCAGGGTCCTGGTGTTTCAGTGGTAGAGTCAGCACGCATGGATATTTGGCTTATTTCATTAATTGTCAGCCAGTGGTACCTTCTTTCCATGGATGGTCATGTCCTCTGGAACCCATGGGCTTTTGTTATTTGTTGGTTTTCTACAGAACCACTTGAGAATACATTGTGGAAATTAAAACAGTTCATCTGTCAACATTTGAAATTCTTAAAACCAAAGGGCTTTTCTTGTTTAACCCCAATATAGAGTTCATGTGTTTCAATTTAACATTAAACCATTAGTGCTATATATTATACACCCCGTATTAAAATTACCCCAGTGAGTGTCCTAGTAGCTGTATTCTTATCCTTCTATCACACACACACACACACACACACACACACACACACACACACTCACACGAGAGAGAGAGAGAGAGAGAGAGAGAGAGAGAGAGAGAGAGAGAGCCCGCCCGCCTTTGTTTTTTTGTTCTCTTGTTTTTGAAATGGGTCTACATAACCCACACTGGCCTGGCCTGAAACACATTACAGAACCTAAGCTATGCTCCTGCCTTAGCCTCCCAGCTGCTGGGATAACAGTCTTGCACTATCCCACCTGCCTTAGCCTCCCAGCTGCTAGGATAACAGTCTTGCACTATCCCACCTGCCTTAGCCTCCCAGCTGCTAGGATAACAGTCTTGCACTATCCCACCTGCCTTAGCCTCCCAGCTGCTAGGATAACAGTCTTGCACTATCCCACCTG